CAACATTAGCTGCAAGTAGCTTTTTCTGCAGTGACTCCCCCATAACTAATGATACAGTCCCGGGGAAGATACACACGTCGTGGGTTGGGCCAGGCAAATATTTACCAGTCAGCGTTTTTGCAGCTCCAAATATCCTAAAAGGGGACTCCCGATGATAGCTTGCAGCGCTAGATTTTCTCATGACACCGCGAGTTTTTGTCTCTGTACACATATGTTGCGGCTATATTTGTCCAAGGAACGGATTTATCTGGAGCTGCTCGCCATAAGGAGTAACTAGGCATGTGTGTGTTTTTATAGTGTTTACGCGAGTGTGGGACTCTAGACCTCCTGGGCGTGTGCAAATCACTTTTTTGCGCCCGTTTAGCGCAATTATACAGTTCTTTGATCATCTTGTAGTTTTCGGTCCGCCGCCCAAGTGCGTAACTGATATTTACATGTGTAAATACTTTATAAATGGTTCAACTACTTAAAAAAATTTGTTTTGAAGATTGTTGGTGTTAGTCTTGGGGGTTATATAGTTTATGAACGTTTCAATTTTTAAAGTTGAGTTTTAAATATTATCTTTCTATAATAGAATATTTATCAGTCTGATTATATACCAAGCCAAGGGGTAGTTTCATATTTTTTTCGATTCGATTACAAAATACAACAGACATTTTTTCTGCGAATATTTTTGAACGGGCGTAGTTGATAGGACACGATCGATTCGGGACGCAAATATGAAAATCACTACCTACACTGTACTTTGGTACAAGATAAATTTCTGTAATTGGCAAATGTACTCAGAATCCACTTACTAACTAGTGTTTAAAACTTTTAGCTAACTGAATCAAAATGTACAGTATTCATTAAGTAAGTAACGGAGGCAGTGCGTGTTGCACTAATGGTGTGATAAGGCAACCAGAAGAGTGGCGCAGGACAATAGAATAATTGGGTGTTCGGTGACGTGTCCTGGGTGGAGGGGGGAACAGATGGCAGACAGCTGAGGGTGCAGCAGCTGTGCCTAGGGTGTAATGTACATAGTACATACACACAGATATAGCTCTTGCTGAAGTCTTCAAGAGGCTAAAAATAATCTTAGATTGTGAAACTTGCAAGTTGTTACAAATTTGGAATATTTAATCTTCGGATCATGCGGACGGCTATCCCTTATGCGCTTCTCCAAGTGATTAATTATATTAACTTGTAGATTTTTGCGTCAATAATCAATTAATTGAGATGGGGACGCCACTTTGGTGCGTATTTGAACACAAATGTGAGTGAAGGATGGTTGTATTGTAGAATTGAGTTAGATCTTTGTAGCTTTATTTATTTAAAGCCCAATACTGATCAGGGACAGCTGGGTCCATTTTTGAACCATTAAAAAGCTACTGACTATTTTCAGGATGGAACCTGTGACCTTTTGATTGTCAGGCGAACTCTATTCATCTAGAGATGCTGCAACTCCCGAGGGGAAGCGTATCTACTGTATATACGTCCATGTTGCGTAGGGAATTATTAAATGATGGGTTCGAGAAATTGTCCAGCTTATTCCATCTTTAACTTAAGATTCGAGAAACCATTTAGTCTTTCTCTCATGTAAATCACCAGTATATTAATTTATTGAATTGCGAATTTGTAAAGAACACTGCCTACTCCCCTATTAATCTAAATCTCCATTTTATTCATTTTGTTGTTAGTTCTTATTTCCCTATTTTTGTTCGCCAGATTCATTCAAATTGTAGGTTAGAGATATTCAGCGTGGGTTTTCTTTGGATTTATGTTTAGACCTCTAAACGCTTTCAAACGTTTTTAGAGATTGTGGGAGTGTATGTAATGCAGTAGTTGGATAGTTGAGTGAAAGTAATGAGTAAATAACCGTTGCAAGGGTGAGGTGTTGTGACTGACGATTGTCGTTACTTGGTAATTTGTCAATGTCATTCGTCATTACCTCAGTTCTGCAAACACTCGTATGTACAGAAATGAACGTTAGAAGACTCAACTTTGTATTCTGCTTCTTGTAAATGAATTGTACTACATTTTGTCTATGTTGACGATTATGCACTCTTGCAATTTGTAACAACCAAGTGTTATCTACATGAAGCTTATAAATCGTTTCTCCAGATAGTGGAGACTATTAGTTGTCTCCAGGAAGCGAAGCTATTGACTTATGCAAGCGGATACCCGGGTAGGTACTGTAGTAGGTCATCCCCTGGAGGGGTTTCGGTATCCAGTAACCCCCTCCCCCCAATAATGGTTCCAATTTGGAGCTGCGGGCAGGCAATTGACCTTCCCAGCACTGTACCGTCAGGGTTACATTTGATATTTTCTATTCAGCCCCCAATTGAAGCAAGTGGGTGTAATTGTATACTTATGGTGGTCTATGAATTAGCTTTGCATTGGTGGGAAAGAGGGTTAAATGACGGATGTTTTGTTGAAGAGTTGACATTTGACCGAGTGTATTTTTTAAGGCAATTATTCTGGACGATGTACACGTTATTTTTGGGGCAGAAATACCAAAATTCACATGTTGGATTTGTATAAGAATATTTCTCGAAATCTAACAATATAAATATTTATCTCATTTGTTGGGTAGCTCGCTATTGGTTTTAAACTTCGAGGTGCCTAAATAAATGTTGATTGTGAAGTTTTTTTTATAATATATAGCCTATTATACTTTCCAGATATACATTTTCTTCTTCAATATTTTATACAAAAAGAAAATATACCGTATTGAATTTAATTTAACTTAATAATTATTTATAATGTACTCGTAAATTCATTTTTCACTTCAATTACCAACAAACAGTTAACTAAATGCGATTGAAAACGGGACTATCGAAATTTAGTAATCTAAACCCCTAGAGGGGCAACCTACAACCGCCTTGATTATCATTTTTTGTAATTTTTTCACTCATAAAAAACTGCAGATTTAGCCTATCGTCGACCGTTTGGATAGTTGAAATGGAAAGGTATTTCAATTAGTGGAATGGTCGTGTGGTGGTGTCGTGACAACAGTCAATGTAGTGCAGTAGTGTGGTCCTGGCTGCGTGCAGCAACAATGTAGTCTCGCTCGCCGGTCTACAGTCACAGTCTACAGACAGATCAATACTGTACACGGCAGCACGCCCCGACCCGTGCAATGAGCTGAAGTTGTATATCTGTAGGCAGATGCAAACAAATGTACTGCTAGCCATCTTGTGATATGTTCTTCGGATTTGCCTTGTAAGAATAACCCCTGCCAAAGCAAACCTGCGAATTTTAATTTTATCTGATTTTATTGTTACGAAAATATCTCCTTAAAATGTCATATTTATTCCCTATTTAAATGGTATTGGATATAAAGAGTACTTAGGTTCGCTGCTATTTTTAGTACAATTTTTATAATATAGGATATAATAAAAAAATTTACTAAATTTGATTAAAATATGTTCATAAACAAACTACGACTGTTTCTACATGTTAAACTTATATTAATCAATTCAATCAGTTTATGAATTTATTCAATCGGTTATCATTTGTTTCCCTAATAAAAGCATTATCAGTATCCTCTGTGAAAAATGTGTTCAAGGATGGGAAGATATAGAATAGGAAGGCGTGAAAAATGTGTAAATGTAATAACAAATTAAAATTTAAAATATCCTAGAAATAGAAATATGGATCTCAGTGGTTAATTAGCCGTGGTTGTGCATAGACTAGACTGAGCTATCTATATACAGTAAGTATATAACTAGGCCTAGTTAGACTATATAGACATGATGGACTGAACAAGCATTATTACCGATTTGCATGCATATCACTAGTTGCATTTGCAAAATCAAATTCGTCAAGCTCTAATAAATACAGTTTAGGTAATTGGGTAAAAAATGTTAATCTGTATTAATCTAGTAAAGGCATAAATGTCACTAGGTCAAACATGGAGTAGAATGTTAGATGACAAATTGCCAGTTAGGATTTGTCTATGAAGTTAGATAACAAGTTGCAACTAGTGGACTCTGCCAAATGATGGAATTAATTATCCCTTAGTTGCTCCCTGGACTAGTTTGTTGAGTCCCTTTAATTAGTTTATCTTACAGGGATTTTATTTAGGGCTTACTTGCTGTAAACTGACCTATTTCAAATTTTCTTTGTGTCGAATGCAACATAAAATTTTCCATTTGGTAGGCTTTATATTTTGGATACAATAACACTTTGAACCAAGTAAAAAACTTTTTAACATTTTATCAGTTAAAAAAATTTATAATTTTCTAATTGTTTTGCGCATTGAAGCATGGTGGAAGGAAAAAACATAGGTGTGATATTCCCGTCATATTCTGACGTCACTTGGATTACAAACAAAAGATCATCTGATTGCAACTGTCAAATTAATATGTATTTATTTTGATTTGATTGTTATTGTTTTTTTATAAAAACACACATTATAAAAACAATAACAACCAAATCAAAACAAATACATATACTAATTTGACAGTTACAATCAGGTTATCTTCCCGAGTGACGTAAGGATATGACGGGAATATCACACCTATGTTTTTTCCTTCCACCATGGCATTGAAGATTACTCTGTTTTATAAAATTTTATGTTTAGTCCTGCTAAAATTACTAATTATAACCTGTTTTTTAAAATAGTTTTGACTTAACTTGAGCTTTAATTCAATCCGATTAAATTTCCTGATACATCAAGGATGTTTAACAGGCTATTACTGTATACATCAATGTGTGGACCAGGAAATTAAAGAGTAATTAAAATATTGGGTCATCAAGGAAAATCAAAATTTTCTGTTACGCTTATTTATTTTAATGCTCTTTAGAAAATTTCATCCAGAAAATTTATCAAATAAACCTTAAGTGTCATTTTTATCAACTTTTGGACTTCAAGAAATCTTCTTACCAATGTATCAGAACACCAAGTTCATACAAATTAAAGATGGCAAATTTTCAATTTATCCAGTGTTGAATGTCAAATTGTTAAGACATTCATCGAATGACATCACTAAGACGGTTTATTTTGTGTTTTGCAGAATGTAGACCACAAGATGAAATACCGCTCAAAGAAAGGACAGCTGCCGTTTGTGGAGATCAACGGAGAGGAGATCGCTGACAGCAGTGTGATCATCAAGGAGTTGAGTCAACAGTTCACCAAGGACCTGGACATCACTCTGGACAACAACCAGAAGAACATCTCACACGCAATGATCTCCATGATTGAAAACCACTTGTTCTGGTGAGTTAAACACTGTGAAACTCGGCACCAGCGTTATCCAAAACGGTAAAACAAATCAATTTGAAAGCTAACATTGACTTTTCTTAAAAAAAAGCCATTATAAAGTTTCAAAGCAACCAAACATCCCAAAACCAATTCCTTGCAATCCTATAGACAATCTATATACATCTGATTTTGTAAAATTCAATATTTTACATTGATGGATTTTAGTGATTCGTTTATTTTAATTCAAGAAATACAACATGCCGACTAAAAAATTGCCAAGATGTTATAACTGATAGTTAGGAATAAATAGTATATTTCACTACTATAGTCCTGAAAGTGACACATATCCGGGCAAGATGGTGGTGGTTTAAGAGTGAGGCAAACCTAGCATGGGACTTGAGTGACAAGTAGTGAAGGATACTTTTCATCACAATGCTAATATTCACACAAAACTTCTTAGTTTTAATCAATCGAGCATTATTCCATTGGCTAATGATTATCTTTTTATATTTTATTGAAGTTTTAATATTATACTTTAACAGTTTGTTTAGTAGTACGCTGTCAGATATTTTCTGTAATAAAAGAATACATACAGTAGCAGTAGCCCAGCTCCTCTTGTTGAGCTAAACTGTAAGGTTTTTTTTTTTTTTTTTTTTTTTGGGGGGGGGGCAAGGAAAAGGATTGTTTGGGAAAGATAAAGTTTTGTTTGGGAAAGGAAGATTGATTTAGGAAAGGCAAAATCATGTTTTGATAAAAGGAAAACGACGATTTTCACTAAGATCAGCTGATAAATTCTTGCAACAATTTTAGTACCTTCATACAAGAATAACCTTAACTTTTTCTAGACAAGAAATAAGTTAAATGTAATTAGTGAAGTAAAGAAATATCAACAAAGCATTGTTGTATACAGTCTATTAGCTATGTGTAACTAGATGATATATTGTAGCCGAGCTCGGCCACCATTACAGCTGTTTGTTGTCGCAGGGTCGTGATGTGGTGGAGGACGAAGCAAGCAGACAACATCATCAAGGGATACAAAGTCAACTTGCAGCACGCTCTCGGCACCAGGATACCAAATGGAATCTTAAATTTCTTTTTCAAATTCAGTTACGGCAGAAAGGTATGCGATGATGTACGTATGTTATTTTTCCTCCTTATTTCGCTTTATAATTTGAACGCTTTGCCAACCTTTTTTTCTTGATCTTTTCTGGTTGTTGTGTTAGAATTGTAGACTGAAATCCTGTGCCGTAGATTGTAGTGTAGTCACAGAGTAGTAAGATACAGAGGATACATTCAATGGTGGTGTCTAGCACCAGTCGCTGGTGTGTAGAGCAAATTCTATTCGTCATCCCCTTCCGATCTCCTTTCCTCCCTCACCATCACATACTACGAGCATTGTAGGGGAAGACCCTGTGCGCTACAACTGCTGTACAAAAATGCTATGTCCATCGCCATTTTGCAGTTCAGGCTCTTCCTTGCTCGGTACAAGTACATGCTGACCCACTATACCAGGGCTAAAAGCGCAAGGTTGTCCCATAAGCTTGTATCCTCTGTGTATTACTTCTCTGTAGTGTAGTACAGTTGTATTTTAATTTGCTATGTGTGTTTTTGTTGTTATCATTTCAATGAAATATCTCAGCAATCTGCAAATGTTAATTGAAAATCTGCACTAACTTAATATGCAGTCAATAGACCTGTATGAGTTGAATTTATGTTAAGTTTGAATTAAGTTTGCAGTTTGAAACAGTTCAGTTTTGTTGTCTGTGGAATCATTTGAGCTCTTAATTTGTTTCTCTTTTACTTTTTTAAATGTAGAAAATTAGTATTTTAGTAAAGTGTTACGTAAAAACTAACCATTATCTGGATTTCAGGGACTGAAAAAAGTCAAAGCGCAAGGCATCGGTGTGCACAAACCAGAAGAAATTGTAGAATTTGGAAAGCAGGATCTCAAAGTTCTCTCAGATCTATTAGCAGACAAACCTTTCTTCTTCGGGGATGAACCAACAACGGTATGTATTTATGTAGAGTTTATCTAGGGTGAAATTTGATTGTGTGTGTAAAAAATGAGTTAAATTAAAATAGGCCTATATAGTTTTAGCCTGCCCTGGATTTTCCGCCGCTCAGAGTAACAGTACAGTTGATTGGTGCAGGTATAATGAGTACGCAATCACTTGTTTACTTTCATCGTTACTAGAGCACAGTATATTGATAAGAAACCATTGCATAATGAAGTATCTATACAGCTAAGATTTTTAAATAATTTTACTGTGTACTCCAAATAACACATTTTTCTTCAGAATTGTACATGTTTAGTTATCCGAACTTTTATGTCATCCAACCTAACTCAGTCTCATAAGGGTCTTAATAGGATTTAGTATAACTTATTCACAGTTCATTCAGGGTTTTCCAGGAGTTTTCAATGTACTGCAACTTGAAATTTATTAGGTTGATAATAATTATTGTGTCTGGATAATTGAGACTGTACCATTGTGTCCACTGTTGATTACCTATGCCATTTATCACTGCCATCAGACACAATTGTCTCACGAGTTGTGAGTTATGAGTCATAACTCATCTCTAGAGGTGTATACACTGTGGCTAATGTTAGTCTTAAATTACATTAGTCTCAAACTTGACTCATTACAGGCTCAACACTGCTCGTAGCCCAAAACGTTGTTGGTTTCAATGTAGCCCTAAGATTATGTTTTTACTTAGACATTGGATGGGTTTTATATTATTAATTAGTTACAAACTATTTTGAATCAAGGGGTAATAATTAGGAAATAAATTAATTAAATAAACGTGTAGTGATTAATCAAATTTTTTTATTTTAGTATTTATATAAATAATATATTTTGATTTATTTGTTGTTATCTTTGTCAAAATCTTTATGGCAAGTTTTGTGGGTGTTTTTTGTTTGTTTTAGTAACTGTTGATGGTTAAGCACATTACATTTTCACAAGGATTGGAAAGAATGTTTCAAAAGTCTCCTTTTTATGAAGAAAAATTAAAATTCAGTCTTGCTCGGGAAGGTTTTAATGGTACTCCCATGAAGTCTAAACTGTCAAGCCTACTTCCCGTCCTTGAGGCGTAATACACTGTCAAAGCATCTTATATTGTTGTGTGAAGATGAAGTTTTCACTCATAGTCTTTGTTCACAGCTGGACGTAGTTGCGTTCGCTAACCTGGCGCAGATCTACTTCGTTGACAAGGAAGTGTCATTCCCTCTCCAAGACTACATGCAGGAGTCTTGCGCCAACCTGGTGGGACTGGTCAACAGGATGAAGGACAAGTGAGTAGACACTTCAACTGTCACGTAACAGGCGTACTCACTGGTGTGTCGGAGTCTTACAAATCTAATCTAATCCTTTGTTCGGATACTGTTTAATGGCATGAAGAAGAAATTACTCAATTTTTATTGGTTATGTTATCAACTAATTGTAAAGGGTTGGATGATAACTTACTCATTTTTAACGTCTTTTGTTGAGAAAAGTTACACAACTGGCTTTGTGTAAACATGGCTTGATGAGTCTTACAGCTCTATAAGTTAAATTATCTAAAATGATGCAAGGTTCAACCTGTTTTCGTATTTCTACTTTTTTATGTTACACAACACGAATCTCAATAATTTGTTTTGTAGGTGCTTCCCCGACTGGGAGGATATCTGCACCACGCTGGACCTAAACTCTCACCTTCCCAAACCTCCCCCAGAGGAGAAGGATAAGGAAAAGGACAAGGGAAAGGATGAAGAGAAGAAGGCGGAGAAAGATGGAGATGATAAGGACAAGGAAAATGAGAAGGTGAGAAAACTGGCTTGTGTAGCACCTACGCTGCAGTCTTAATATCATAGTCTTAACAGTATTTGTGTTGAGAAGGCACATGAAACAACTGCACACTTGCACACTTAACAAAAAATTAGAATATCATTTCTCATTCACAGAACTTGTAATCAAAGCCATTTTTTGTTGAGAAGTAATGTGTCTTAAGGTCCTGGATCTAAAAATAAACATTTACTTATCAAGGTTTAGTTTAAACCTTAGAATGTTAAATGTCAATTAAATGTATCATCTATATAAATAAAATTAGAGTTTTGTCTGTACATTGCTCAGAATCATTCAGTTTTAGGTTATTTTTACGTTTTATACATTAAAGAAGCCGAAACAAGTCTCATCTAAATTTCTGTCTGTCTGTCTGTCTGTCTGACACACTCAAGATGGCATTTTACGCAATCTTCTCCAGGAAAACGAGAGTACCTATCAAGACCCAAGTCATTTTAATGTATTCACTGAATTGGCGAGAGTGTCTTTAGCCATTAAAATATGGTCTCACTACTTTGTAATTAAAATTACGGCCGTTCAAAAATGCAGTTTTGTGCGATTTTTGTCAAATTTTCTTCCAATTTGTATCACATAATCATCTATGAAACAACGAACAGCTGTTCGGATCAAGATTATTTTTTCTAGCTGTCACTGAAATGTTTACAAATGTTGTTTACAAACACCACAACCATTTCCGATCACGTTTTTGAAGGCAAATCCCATCCAAGTGAGATTAAAAACTTTTTTATTACATAAAGGATTTAATTAACCGCAAGTGGAATAATATAGTGTAACCGTAAATTAAATAACTAGGCATCATCCAGGCCAGGAACCAGAAATATGTGTATAAAATTGTTTTGGAGTTTTGATAACCAGAAAGAAGACATTGAATCAAGATTGAATCAGTGTTGTATATGGCTGGGAAACTTAAATTACTAATGACCGTCGCCAATAGCTTAGAAACAATGTTCCACTCATTGACGGCTCTTCAATGGCGGTTGTGTAAAGTGTAAAGCAAAAAATTACAACTGCAGTAGGTGATTGTAACAGAGGTTTACGGATGATGCTGAACTCGATTTTCCAATGTGTCACTTTCTGTTCCTACCATTGACTATATAAAGTCAATAGTTCCTACTCACCGTGTGATGCAATCGCTGGACCATACAGCCAATAGGCCCACAGCCCTTCTCTTGGGTACGTGTGGTACGTATGCTTACCCAATTATTTATAACAACCCTTTCGACAACGATCCTTGATACCGGTACTTTTCCATAGAATACACGGCCTACCTAGGTACTTAAGAAATAAAATTATAAACGTCCAAAAACCCAACGTTGTGTTATTTTTGTCACATTTCCTTATAATGTTAATATATATACCAGCAACCATTGTTTAGAGAATACGTAATCTATTAAATAACAGAAAGTTATGTTGTATAAGGTTTTTTTTTCAAACTGACACCGATAAGTTTACATTAAGAGTTGTGTACAAATAAAGCAATTAATGGGAAATAACTTTGATTGCCGATAACTTTTTACGAGAAAATCCAAAACCAAGAGATCAATAACCTTGATTAACGCATATAATTGGTCGGCTGTACTACAGTTCTTAACTGTAAACGTTGGTTTTTGGTACGGTACTGGTTCTTTTCCTTTTAACCTTTAGTAGCAGCAAGAATCATTTTTACGTACCAACACATCACAGTAATTTACAAATTAGTTATCGTTGGTGTTGCACCTTATTTATTACAGGCGTAGGCCTATTCAATTTAATTGATGTCTTAACTGTATAATTTTAGCTTTTTCTGTCTGGATTCCAAAATGTTATGCTAAGAAAACTATAACGCATTTTAGTAAAACATTTATTCAGCAAACCATTATGAATTGTTCAAACACTTTAAACGTTGTTTATGTATCAATAGTTCGTGGCGTATTTTGGTAATTTTTATTATAAATTACCAATCTAAATCGTCTATAGAAGGCCTACTGTACTTCATTTCATATAGCAAACCGATTCAGATAGCATTTCGACAGAATTTCGAGTCATCTCCGGTCCAAGCAAATATAAATTGTTATGATCAAATTTTATGGCATTAACAAAGATTTCAAGTACTAATTTTATATGTACCTTTTTATGCTTAAAGCGTAGCAGATTCCCTAATTAAGTTCGGTATTTTTGTGTGTATGTATGATGGTAACGCATTAATGTCCTTGTTTCTCAATGTTTCACGGAAAGGACAAGAGCCCCTTGATAATGAAAATGTCAACCCGAATAAAGTGTTAAATTAAGAGGTTGAGGTAGTACCTTAAATACTTTTAACCATTATGTTATAGTCCTTTAAATTCTGAACAAAATTGTACAAATCCCATTTCCGCATATTTACTCTCACCGCTTACACATGATAAAGGTTGTTGACAAACTTATGGGAGAAAGTATGTGTCAGAATGCTGATACCGTTTATTTAGTTTAATCATTGGATATAACATATGGACCAACAAGATCCGGGTGACATTTAATTGCGAAGCATTAGTTTTGGCTTGAAACTGTCAGATACTGTATTTGCGAAGGAATAGTTTTGTCAGCATATCTGAAAGTATGCAAACCAACTGCTGTGCTTTATATAAGAAGGTTTTAACTGACTATGATAAGATCCCCGTGCGTAGAACGGGCACACAGCTAGTGTCTGCCTAAAATAATGTTTTACTCTGTTTTCAGTCTGAGAAGGAGATTGAAAAGGAAAATGAAAAGGACAAAGAAACAGACGAGAACAAGGACAAAGAGATAAAAAAGGAGAAAGAAGACAAGTGAACCAAGAGCCCAGAAATCCCCGACCCACCCACGAACAATTAGTGTATAGCTTTTTAAGGTCATTTTTATTTTTTCTATTATGCATTTAATATATAGGACTTGTTGTGACCGTTATGTTAGTGTGTATTTAAAGAGAGAAGATCTTTTTTATTCCACCAACTGTAACTTAAAATATCCGTTAATTTAACTTCATTCCATCGGATTAATGTATTTTCTATGTATCGTTTTTAACTATAGTAACTGCTTTTCTATTGGCCAACTCCCGAACGCGGTCATTTTTTGTACCTATTTGTACATACAAATTATTATTATTTAACGCAGTATCGGATTCAGGAATTTATAAATGTTAAACCGGTTTCCAGGGAGCTGACCACTAGGAAACCGAGTTTAGTAGTAAATGTAGACGGTAAGATGTTTTATATCTAAACGGTAAGCTCAAAGCAAAACGGTCTGCTCACAGGTAGGTGGTGTCGGGACCGATCGGACTCATTCTCCGGTCTCCTGCTTTCTTTTATACATACTTTCTTCCCTTCTAATTGTTTAAGCTGCTCTCGGAGCGTTCAGATGTTTATATAGTATATAAAAGTTCTGTTTCCATGACAAGCTTGTTTGAGTAGGTTAGCTTAGCTAGTTGTATGTGTACATCTACAGTTTTATCCATTTCGGTTAAGTGTGTATCGAAAGGTTCTGTGTACCCTGTCCCGAAACAGACTGAGACGTGTATTTATTGTTTAGTTGCGCTGGCAAAATTTCTTCTAATTGGATGGCATTTTAACACAAACCATATCAACCATTCCTTGTATGCAATTGTTTTAAAATATGACTGTAATTTTGTTCAAATTACCTTAATTTAGAATACTCGAGATATGTTTATTATTATATAAGTCTATTTCATAGTATCTTTGATATTATTGTAACTATATGGCTTCTATTATGCTTTGAAAGGAGCCGTACAAACACCTAATAAAGGAAGATCTTTAAGTAAGGCTGTCAGTTGGTGTTTTATTTATCCTGTTTTTATTTTGTTCTCATCTCTCATTCTTAGTAAAAAACTGAAAAATGATCAATTCAAACTTATGTCAAAACTAATGGTGTAGGGGCAATGGTGAATCACTTCATTACATGCCAAATATTGCTTAAATATAATAAGTAACAAAACTAAAGAATGGGCAACCTTCTTCCTCACTAAATATTGTATCATGTAGCCATTTATATAGTTATTATCATGGGCACCTTTTTGATGATCCTGTTTTTTGTGTTTTTTTTTGCCACAAAAAAGTCTTGAATAAATTTTTTACAGAGAATATATATTATTTTTACATGATTGTAAAGATTCCGAAATTGTGAAAATTCCTTAGATTCAACTATATTAAGTAAAATCTTTTGTTACATACATTATATTCATTTATGTTATCTACAGTAAAACCTTTCTAACTCGACAATTTGTGGACCCAGAGTTTGTTGAGTTATCCAGGACTTTGAGATGTGAATGCTGCGCAACGACTGGGCGGACGGCATGGTACTTCCACCATTCTCCACTGGTCTCATGGTCTCCGTCGAAGTCGGACTCACAGTTTTAGATCGCTGACTTTCCTATGGTCCGTGAGGTTGGCGAAGGACTCTGAAGGATTAACGTCCCTTCCACCAGCAGGGCCCTACCTACCCCATGGCGAGTGACCCATGTGTGTGTGTGTGTAGGTGTGTCTCTGTGTGTGAGGGCTGTAATCCCTTTATATATATATATTTTTACTAGCGGAGCACCCGTCCTTCGTACGGGGTTGGCATATAAGTATAAAATGCTTATTGCAGTTATACTCAAGCTTTGCGTTTGCAATGGGGGAGGACACAGTTTGATAAAATTTGATTCATAAATTTACGGTATGATATAGTGTAACACATCTACTATTGTCATAATGTTCTACTACTGCACCTTAACAATAGAAAAAATAAATTATCAAACATTCGCACAATATCACAAATTATTAATTAAATTAAAATCTCAAACCTAACTATAAACAATCCTACCTTGACAGTTCTCATTTTGTATCACAGCGTTTTGTTGCTGCTTAAGTTCAAATTAGCTGTTGTCATATAATATGCAAAAACAAAATAATAATAGTGCTGCACCCTGTTGTTAAACCTTATAACTTTTTAATTATTAAACTTTATTACTATTACTATTTACTATTATTTAACTTTTTAAATTATTGGTTTTGTCAATAAAATTTCAGTGATTGCTCTTCCACTCGGGCAGATAACATGTGCGTGACCAGAGTTTGCTATTGAATTGCAGTAATTTGACTACTAAAATGTTTCTCTATAACTTTCTCTCAAATCCACTAAATGGTACAGTAACTCTAATCTACTAATTTAAATGGTCTCTCGAGTCTCGATAATCTAGCTTGCCAGTTGCCGTTTAAGCCAGATTATCGAGATTCGACTGTGTCGTATGGCTTTTATAATTAGTTGCCAAGTAAGTAAAATACACCCCCGCCGCAGCAAACCTGCAGACTAAGAGAATTTTTATTTGCCTGATTGGATTTACACTAAAATGTCTCCTTAAAAACATCACATTTATTCCCTATTTAAATAACATTAGTTTAACGAGTACTTAGTGCTGCAATAGGGAGGGTAAAAAGGTGTTTTAGCGAATTTCCCATATAGGGAATAAGCTATTACCGTAGTACTCATGGTAAGACCTGGACGCGGGACCGATTTTTTTTTTTCATTTTGAGGTCCCTAGAGGCCAAAAACACCATCCGTTCAAATTCATATATATATATATATATATGTGTCCGTTAGCACGGTAACTCGAGCAAAAATGATCCGATTTTGATGAAATTTGGTACAAACGTGTAAACCTACGTTTATTCGAACGAGTTCGCGATCCAGCATGATCGGACCATGGGAACGGGGGTTTATGGGGGGTTTTATGGGGTAAAAATAGTTTTTTCCCATTTTTGACCCAAAAAACATAAAATTTAGCAATTTCTTTCCAAACCATTTTGTAGAGCTTAAAAAAACAAATAATTTAGTACATTGAAGCGTTATTATGCGCCTAATGGTTACGGAGAAAATTCCAAAAAATTGTAAATTTAAAATTCCCATGTTATTCTTATGGAGAATAAGTAAATTGTTGTAGTTTGCTTGTTTATGAACATATTTTGATCAAATTTGGAAAATGTTTTTATTTCTTACTAACTATTAACATTTTACAAAAAAACAGTTTTACCCTCCCTGATGCAGCAAACCTAAGTACTAGTTAAACTAATTCTATTTAAATAGAGAATAAATGTTATATTTTTAAGTAGACATTTCAGTGTAAATCCAATCAGTCAAATGGAAATTCGCTTAGTCTGCAGGTTTGCTGCGGCGGGGGTATTTTTTGTTTTTTTTGTAAAATGTTATAGTTTAGTATGAGACTAGAGAACCCGTGAGGCTCAATGAGCCGCATAGTATGAAACATAACGCCAAGAAAAACATTAAGCTTAAATTCGAATAGTTTTAGTTACATCTTAGAGTTGTTTGAAAACTTATTAGAAACTAATTTTAAATATCTCTATTTGCGTCGTCAAGGCTCACTTACATTACCGGTATTTCTGCTCTCAGTTTTAACTGATGACTTCTAATGAATGCTAAACTATCTGCTTCAATTCGAGGTAACATGCTGCAACAAAGTGTTTCCAGAATCGAGAACTTAAGAAAACCTTATATGCCTTACTGATAACCTGTGTTAAATAATTTAAGTCGAGTCATTTTATTTCTTTGATTTGAGACATACACCAACCTACTCAAACAAATTTTCTCCGTAGAGAATCCTGAAAAATGGGGTGATATCAACCATTTCATGTGCTACATGTTTTAACACAGAATACAGTACCTAATACAAAAAAATCACACTTATTTTAATAAGGAAATAAATTGAAAGAATAACAAACAAATAAGTACAGCTAAGGTATTTTTTTACATTAGGTATAAAAGTATATGGAAAGTTCGCTTTAGAAATGAATTACGACCTTAAAGGGCAATTTACGAAATAATGGATAGTTTAGATAGTAATGGAAGTTTGACAGTTTAACAGTTTGCTACAAACACTTGTTTGAAATGAAACATTTACTACATAGTCATAGTTTTTTTGTACATAGTTTGTACAGTAAATACTAAATAGCGTCATATTTAATACAATACTAAATCTAATTAAAATCTAATAATATTTACAATTTACCAAGCAAAAATGAAAAGTAATAACAACAATATTTATATCTACAGTAGGTTATATCTGGGAGGTGGAAAATTCTTCTATGGAGTAAGGGGCCAGTTGTATCAAATATTCTGTCAGCAATTTCCTGAACTTATTTAAATTATTTTCTCTCCTTTTGTTTTCTGGAATATATTTAAGAAAAGTATATCCCATGTAGGTTGGTTTCTTTTCAAAAAACTTTAATCTATGTGGCAGGATAACCTCATTTCTCTTTCTAGTATTATACGAATGAGCTGGGGACTTAAAATTGATAGTTGTACAATTCTTTGCAATGAGAGTAGTTTCATTAATATATTGCCCGTAAACAGTTAAAATATTTAGATTTTTGAAATGTTCTTTTGCTGATGCATCATACTCAAACTTAAGCATGATCCTTATTGCTCGTTTTTGCTGTTTTAATATTTTTTCTAAATTTAACTTTTTTGTTGAACCATACAGCGCTATGCAGAACAATATATGAGAGTGAACATGGGCAAAATAGATATTTTTTAATGTTTTCAGATCACAGTAATAAGACATTTTAGATAATGCGTGAATTCCTGAATTAATTTTAACCAAAATTTTATGCACATGTTCGTCCCAATTCAGATTCTGATCAACTGTCAGACCTAAAAAATTTATACTTTTTTCGTGTTCAATGTTATGGTTATCATGTATTATTAAAGGTTCTGGAAGTAGTTTACTTTGAGCTGTCTTGAACATTACAAATTTTGTTTTTTGTGGATTTAAAAGTAAATTGTGATTTATCAAATAGTTTCCAAGGTTTTCCAATTCAATGTAAGAACACACTTCAGTTTCTTCTTGTGAGGCAGTTGATAAAACGAGATTTGAATCATCAGCGTAAAGACACAACTTACTATTCAGCTTATAGATTAATGCGCTGTTTACTCCTCTCAGGTAGCAAAGAAAAAGCAAAGGCCCTAGAATTGATCCTTGAGGTACTCCAAACCTGATTGGCTTACAATTTGATGCTATTTTAGTAATTTTATATCTTTAGTTAAGTGGGAAATTTCTACATACTGCGATCTGTCATGGAGGTAAGAACTGAACCAATTTAAAGCATTTTGAGCTTAAAGCATTTAAAGCTACAAGTGTACATGTTGCTCGAAATCGAGCAATTGCGAAGAAGTAAAGTACGGTAGTTGTTTAAAAACAAATAACTTATTTAAAACCTAATAAAAGTCATAATTTCCAATGAGTTTAAAAGACTCAACTCATAAGGCCTGTTCACACCGGCGTAGCTAGACGTCTGCAGACGTATTCGGTGTATTAATACGTCGCCAGTGCACTGTTCACACCGCAGCTACGTCTGACGGCTGCGTAGCCGGTGAGCCGGCTGTCGTTTGTTTATTTTATTATATTATATCATATTTGTTTATACCCTATTTGTTAATTTATTGTTTATTTTTATTAGTGTTTCATGAATTTCAGTTAAGATTGCCACGGTTCAATTGCAGCTTTTATAGTACCCTGAAAAGTCTGTCGATTAATGTGTTAATGTTGACAAAAATATTTCACTCTAACTTTTAGGCCGTATATAGTAGACTATAAGATTTGCACTATATTATAATATAACAAAAAATTACCAGAAAACATGCAATAATTTTGCTCATCAATAAGGATTACATAATAAAATAGTCTATGGTGTAAGTAAAAAGACGTAGTAGGCCTATGTCTAGAAATAATTCATTAATTTTTCATAAATGTCAGCCCACTATATGAACCACAATAA